TGAAAAGGCTTTTTCAATATTTTATTGCTAGAATTGTAAAATTTAATTTCCCTGTTGAACTGTGAAAGTAGAACATATTTTCATTAACATTGCCCCTCTTCTCCCAATTTTGAATTTCTACTTATATAAATCTATTCAATTTATTTTATAGCGAGAATTTTTTTCTCATTTCGAAGAGTATGTGTCTTTTGGAGAACAAACATGGATTTCTATTTCACAATTAGCCTCTCCTTCTCAATCCTATGATGCCATAGAACATAAAACTGGTTATCATTTTAAAAATCTCATATATATTACATATATTACTTATCTTAACTTCTCCATCTGTTTTTACACCTGTAGTCACCATTTTACCAAGATGTGTAGATTGACCCATTTGCTTCATTTTTTCCATTTATTAATCATTTGTATTCTGTTTTCCCTTTCAAATTTAATGATTTCAGGGTTTCCTACATTGTTCCTCATTGTACCATTTACATGTCTAATATTCATTGAAATCATTTACATTCTCAGCCAACATTGTGACTTTACCCATAAATGAAAGTACATTCACATTCATGTCCCGAACCAATGTAAGCCTCCTTATAAGTTTTATAAATATCATTATACTTTAAAAAAGGAATATATAATAATTATGCAAGAGTTCCCCTGATTGTCATGGTTGCTTTCTCTCTAATACCTCTCTATTATCACATTCAGCAACCAACTTTCAACTCTACACAAAATATTCCATAAGTTTAAGCCTGTTCCTTTTATCATAAACCTTTCCCAAATCAACAAACATACAATAGAATTTATTTCTCACATCCAAAAATTTCTTAATTTTAAGAAATTAAGAATGTTTTAATTTTTGTCCAGCTAAAGGATGATATTAATTCTATATCCCTGTCCAACATAAAATCCTGCTGCCCTTCCCCAGTTTTGCTCACTGTCACATTTTGTAAGTTTCCGGACTTCTCTCCCAAGTATATTCACAGGAACAATTAATAAACTAACCTCCCTGTAGCTTTTCACTCACCCTTACTATCTTCCCTTTTCCATGGGAGCAATAGCACCTTCTTCCGGATTTCTGGTTTGCAAGACTTCAGCGGCGGCAGGAATCCGCAATCGTGCGTGGTCCCTGCTGCGCTCGCCGCCAAAGTGCCTCCGATCCATTTGGATCTGGAGGATATGGTTGTCCCGTAGAGGCAGCTGAAGAGAGAGGAGATCTGGACAGGGGCTTGGGGTATCGCAAACCCCCTCCTCAGCCAGAAAAACTCCTCTTCCCAAGGCGGTGGAGCGGCGGTCAGTAATGGCCACCACAAAGAAGCCTGCAGCCAGGCAAGATTGTGCAGGAGGAAGTTGGAGAAAGTGAAAGTTTTTTGGCTGAACTGGGACAGCAAGGAATTTCAAAACACCCTGGAAATGTAATCGTTTGAATGAAACCTTGTTTCCCAAAGAGACTGTGAAAGTGGCAGAAGAAGATTTAAAAGGGAAAGTTATTTTTTCTCACTCTCCCTCCCCATGGAAATAGCTGATGGAAATTGGAAAAATCTGCTTGGGCACAGAAGGTAATTAAATCTGAAATTTGAAGCCAAGGGGATTAAATATTTCTGAATACTGGAATTTTGCTATAAGTGGGAGGGAAGAGGTAAAGAACTTATTTTAAGATTGTACTGAATGACACTGCTTGGAATTTATAAGATCAGAAATAAATGGCAATTAGACTTCTAAAAATTTACTTTGGAACTATGTAACTGAATTCTACCCCAAGAAGAAAAAATATAAAAAGAAGGAAGTGCTAAATGAAACAATTTGTTCTGATTTGGATTGCTTTGTGACTTTGGGATTTTTGGGAATTATTTCTTGAAAGGCTAAAAATGTTTGGGTTGTTTTTAAGGAAAAAAATGGCATTATCAGTTGAAGAATTACTAATGGAATTTCAAAAACTAAAAAAAGAGGAACAAGAAGGCAAGGGCTCTTCTGGATCTATTTTTCATTTTTTGGAAATGGTGATTTCTACCTACCAAGAAATACAACAGCAAGGAAGCTGGGATGGAGAAGAAGAAGCCATCTTTAATGGACAGATAATCTTAGTTGAGGAAGAAGAGAGAAAGGAGGGAAATAGAATGGAGAATTCAGAACCTAAAAAAGCAACCAAGAAAGGGAAAAATAAGATGAAAAATTGATACAATGACAGAAAGCAACAGAAAAAAGAAATACAACAGAGAGGGAAGATTAAGAGAGTGGAGTTTGAGAGATGGCGGGATAAAAAGGCTAGAATTGATAAGAAAGGAAGGGAAAAAGGAAAGAGAAGTCATAAAGGTTTAAAACAAGATGTTAAAAAACAGGTTTTTTTCAGAGACAAAGGGTAAACTATAATTTAAAAAATGATTCTGCAAAAGTACATAAGATTGTATTGTAGATATTAGTATTTGAAATTGAGTTAGAAAACTGAAATATTATGAGTTAATAATGCATTAAAGGGAACGTATAAAAATGTTTAAGATTTAACAGTAGAGCTTAACTTTCTATGGAATATTGTCTTTACTATTATATAAACTTAATTCTCTTTTTTTCTTTTTGTTTTATTATTCTAAAATGTGATACTTAGAATGTACTAAGCAGAATCAGTATGGAAAGTATGTATTATTTTAAGTGTTAAATTTAGGGGAAAGATAAAAAGTTGTCATACTTCAACCAGTCATTACAGGAGAAATATTGTATTAGAAAGAAAAGGAAAATAGATAATTGAAAGAGAACGGACAAAAGATGCAAGTATAATTATTTAAACTGAGATGAAATAAATAAAATAGAATTAAGAGAGTGAATGAAGAGAGAAAATATATAGAAAATATAGAATGTTAAATAAGATATGAAATAGTATATTAGTGAGCATGAATTTGATTTATGTCTGTATAAAAAGATGTAACCTGGGGTAAGCCGCTTTCCAAAAAGAAGTTTTATGTATTTAGGTTTTGTGTCTTGTTTGTTTATCAAAACGTTAGAAGAATGTTGGAAAAGAACAATGACATTTTAAATAAGACAGATGGATATAATGAATATATACAATTTAAGGCAAAAGAAATATAATTGAATAGAAGGAAAGGGACAAGTTGGGAAAGATATGAAGTTGAACAGATAAGATGAATATACATATTAAACTGTATTGGTATGGAAATGTGATAATTTGGAATTATCCTGTCTCTAAATAAGATGTTTTACTTGGTTTTTTTTTTTTAAAAAAGATGTCCTATGTTATTATTCTACGTTTTGTTTGTGTATTGTTTTTTAAAATTAATAAAACTTGTTTTTAAAAAAATAGCACCTTCTTCCAATTTACGTTGAAATATCCATGTGTAATAAGCCACAAACATTTTCCACTATTTCACAATTCACTTATTTTTCAACAGGGAACCAAGGCCTAGGAAAACATTTGTTATCTCCACTTATCACCGAAAGCACATTTTTTAAATTTCTCCCGATGTAGCATCAAATTTGCCCTCTCCTACCATTTTATACTGCTTTTTTGTAACCTTTCCTTTGATGCTAATATCAGCAGCATTCAGTTTCATACCTTTCAATTCCATCCTTCAAGCTATCCCTATTATTTGCATTATAACTTACATGATGGGAAGGAGGCAGGGTGGGCTTCAAAAATGTCAACAACCAGTTCTCTGCCCAGTTGCTGGGTGGGTTCCTGGTAGTTGGCTTCCTGCACCATGGTGGTGGGGTGGTGTTTTTGCTCTCCCCGGGCTCTGGAGCTTTTGCTTTCCTCCAGCCTCTGGGAGGGCAAAAATTGCCTCCCCTGGGCTCCGGAGGCATTTTTGGACTTCCGGAACTTCCAGGAGGCCCATTCTTCACCCTCCCCAGGCTTCATGCAGGCCCTCCACTTACCTCACATCCAAAATGGGCCTCATGGAGACTCCAGCCAGGGGTGGGATTGGCGGTTAGCCGAACTGGACATAAAATTAGCTCATAGTAGCCCACCCCTGGAAGGAGGACATGAGTGATTATCTTCAGGGCCATGTG